ATTCAATGTCATTCTGCTCCAAGTGACTTCATGTGATGTCAGCTTTAAATGTAAGCGACAGCGATCTGACGCTCGGGAAGATGTTGGTTATCCCAATCTGACAGTGCGGCCGCCGCACGGCCGGGGCTTTGGATGCGTCTCCGCGGCGGTGGGCAAAGGTAAACTCATGCCGGGCCGGGCTTTCCTTCTGGTGTGTCCCCCCCCCTCCCTTCCCCGCCCACCAGAACCCCGCGAGGGGCCGCGAGGAGGAGGAGGAGGGGGGGTTTGGGGGGGGGGTTGCCTTTCTCCCCCCACCGGGCCCGCTCCGGCAGGGCTGGGCGCAGAGTTGCTCTGTTACTTTTCGCCGCGTTCTGCGTAATGAGCCGCAATCTGCTCTCCCCGCGCGCCGCGGTGCTTCGCCTGTGTTCATTTGAATGTAAATGGGGGAGGAGATGCTGGGGGGGGGGGAGCGCTACGGAGCGAGGGAGAGGTGGTGCCGCTTATTAAACTGATTTGTCTCCTGGCTTTTCTGGAATGCTGAGCCGGGGGACCAAGCAGCGCCGGACTCCTTTCAAAGCTCTTCATTCTTCTCCTTTTTGAAAACATGTGTCTATGCGGTGGTGGTGGTGTTGTTGTTGTCTCGGTGTGACTTGTTTGCATGGGCGAGGTCTGGCTGCTCATCTCAAGTTTGGGTGTCTTTTCTGCCTCCCTGCCCCAGAGAATGGCCTCGTCGGCGTCGCTGGAGACCGTCATGCCTTCGCCCTGCGTCCGCAGCGGAGCCGCTAACCCGTCCAAGACGCTGGCCTTCTCCATCGAGCGGATCATGGCCAAGGGCTCGGAGCCCCCGCCGCCGCCGCCGCCCCACAAGCCCGCCGCCGCCGCCTTCGACGCCCGGCGCAGCGACTCGCCCCACAAGAAGCTGCTGGGCCTGTGCTCGCCCATCCCCTGCGTGATCCCCATCCAGCCCCTGGCCGGCTACGAGGCGCCCGCCAAGACGCTGCTCAGCAGCTACTCGGAGCTCTGGAAGAGCAGCCTGCGCCACTGCTCGACGGCGGCGGCGGCGGCGGCCTTCTGCAAAGCCAACTGCGGCGTGTGCTGCAAGGGAGGCGAGCTGCCGCCGCCGCTGGCCCCGGCCGGCCCGGGCCGGGGGATCAAGCCGCAGGCCATGCCGCCCGCCGCCGCCGCCGCCGGCCTCTACTACTTCAACTACCTGGAGTCGGCCTCGTACCACCCGTCGGAGCTCCTGGGGCCCGGCGGCCAGCTCTTCCCCTCCGCCGTGCTCCACTCGCCCGGCCCGGCCGCCGCCGCCGCCGCCGCCGCCGCCGCCGCCCTCTCGGCGCACCAGAAGCTCTTCCTGCTGGAGAACGCCAAGCTGGCCGGCCTGGCACCCACGGACAAATTCCCCAACGCGCAGTACCCGCACAAGGAGCGCCTCCCCGGGCAGCTCGACCAGGTCATGAAGGAGAACACGGCGCTGGCCGCCGACAGGAACGGCCTCAAGGGGCAGCACGCCAAGCTGGGCGCCGCCAGCGCCGGAGGAGGAGGAGGAGGCGGTGGAGGCGCCTCGGCCGACGGGAAGCCCAAGAATTTCACCTGCGAAGTGTGCGGCAAGGTAGGGTAGGGTAGCGAAGCGGGGGGGAGGGAGAGGCGCTAGAGGGCGCAGGCGGAGGAGCCCGGGACACTTTCTCCACCCCCCTCCCCAAAAAGTTGGGAGCGTGGCTCACCCGAACACCTGGGGGCGGCGGGAGGGGTTCCCGGTCTGCCTGCCGGGATTGGGGAGTCGGTTTCCAGTGCAATCCGAAACGAAGCGGCGCTCTTTCGAATCACTGGGCTGTCGACTTCGGAGGGCACTGCTGCTCCTGGTTAGAAAAGGGACGCAGAGAGAGAGGCAGCTGCCAAAGGCTTTTCAGGGAATTCCGGGGCAGAACTTGGACCGGGGATTCCGAGGCCGCCACCGTCGTGGGGAAATGCCTGGCGCAGGTACAGCCGGAGCCATCTGGGGGAAAGGCTGAGCTCAGCTTCCTCTTTCTGTAGAGCGCCCTAACTCTCGGCCCCCACCCTTAGCGATGCTAAGGAGCCCGGTTCTACTTTGCCCAGGGTGGGGAGAGCGACTGAGGCGGACTGTAGATAAAGGAAATAAAGTGGCGCCTAGCAGAGCAAGATTGGAATCCAGGTCCACCTAGGCCGCCAAGGTTTCCCCGCCGAACGAAATCTCCCCCCTCCCCTTTCTGGGTTCCTGCTCTGCCGCCCCCCGGGGCTTCTGGAAGAAGAAGCGGGAAGCCGTTTCCCCGGGGCTGAAAGCGCTCGCCTGCCTTGTGTTCCCTCGCAGGTCTTCAATGCCCATTACAACCTCACGCGCCACATGCCGGTTCACACGGGCGCCAGGCCCTTCGTGTGCAAAGTTTGCGGGAAAGGCTTCCGCCAGGCCAGCACCCTCTGTAGACACAAAATCATCCACACGCAGGTAGGCCGGCTTCCCAGCCAACGATTCGCGTCTCTTTGCTTTGTCCCCCCCCCCCCCTTAAAAAAAACCGGACGCTTTCTCGGCCCCGGCCTGGAAGGGGGGGGGGGAGAGAGAGAGAGAGAGAGAGTTTCCTGCCCGTTCTTTTCCCCCTTCGCCTGTCTTTAAAATGTCCTCTCCCCGCTATAGGAAAAACCTCATAAGTGTAACCAATGCGGGAAAGCTTTCAACAGAAGTTCCACGTTAAACACTCACATTAGGATCCACGCGGGCTACAAACCTTTCGTGTGCGAATTTTGCGGCAAAGGATTTCATCAAAAAGGTATTTGTAGAGGGGTTTCTCTGTGTGACGTGATTTCACTGTGGATGCTCTTCTCCCACTCTCGGAGGGAAATTTAGAGGGATTGGTTGTTGTTGTTGTTGTTAAACTTTATTAGGGGGGGGGGTTCCGAGGGGGGTGGTCTGTCAGGTTTTATTTGCGCCGGGTATTTTTTTGAAAATAAAGAGAAGAAAATGATTCACTGGAACGGATGCTTACGAGAAACAAAATGATACCTCTGTAACGGGGAAAATAATTTCCCATGGATTTTTCTGCCGTCTGGTCAGTTTCCGCTCCAGGCTGAGCTGAGCGTTCCGAAAGGAGCGTTCTGAAGGTTCCAAAGGGAACGTCGCGAAGGTTCCGAGCAGAATCCTCCCGCCGTTCTTCTCTCGCCTTCCCTGGAAGGAGGCCCGGCTCTTTGGGCGGCGTGTTTCCGAGCCTACCAGTAGGCGACCCCCCCCCCCTCTTCTTCCCTCCAAATGCCCTGGGGGGGAAGCTTGCCTTGAGGCGGCAACGGAAGACCAACTCAAAGTCAAAGCCGTCATTCGGCATTAACGGCGATGCCAACTAAGGGCACGATCCGGCCAGAAGGAAAGCATTCGCGCCCATGAAGCGCCTGCTTCGGTCTCTCTGCCTTTCCGAGGAACGGCTTTTCCAGGGCGAAACTTTGGGCCGATCCCTTTGATATCACGGCCCCCCCCCCCCCCGGTGCTTATCCAAACGCCGCGGTGGGAGAAATCGAGTTCGCCAAAGAGTTCCCCCCTCCTCGGAGAAGTCGCCCCAAATTCCTCGCCGTTTTTCAACCGGAGGCGGTTTCTCATTCGGAAGTGTCGCCGTCCCCCCCCTCTCTCTCCCCCGCCCTTCCTCCCCTCCCTCCTTTTCCTGGTCCTCGGCCAGGTTCTCCCATTTGCTCCGGGTCAGGACGCTGACCCGGCCTCTAATTTTTTAATTCGCCGGTTGCGGGGCGCGGGGGCCTTGATGCAGACCAAGTTTGACAACTTCTTGACTGTCCCTTGCAGGACACTTCCTTAATGAAGTCTTGCCGCAGAAACCGCTCGGCTCCCTCGCGGTTTCCTTAGGAGAAAAAGGAAAGGGGGGTGGAAATAAAGGAAGAAGGGGGAAAGGCCTAGATTTGGGGAGAAAGGGTCGGGGTGGGGTGGGGTGGGGTGGGGTGGGGACACCCATCCTTAAAATAAAAAAAAAAACCGTACTAACCTTCCGCTCTCTCTGTCCCGGGCAGGGAATTATAAAAACCACAAGCTGACCCACAGCGGCGAGAAGCAGTACAAGTGCACCATCTGCAACAAAGCCTTCCACCAGATCTACAACCTGACCTTCCACATGCACACGCACAACGACAAGAAGCCCTTCACCTGCGTCACCTGCGGCAAGGGCTTCTGCCGGAACTTTGACTTGAAGAAACACGTGCGGAAGCTCCACGACGCCCCCGCCGCCCCCGCCGCCCTCACGCCCGCCGCCAAGGAGCTCTCGCGGACCGGGCAGAGTTAGGCGCCCGCGGGCACCCACAGAGACTCCCGCCCCAGCAGCCTTGGGGAAGAAAGAATCCCCTCCCACCCCGTCCAGACAATCTCCTTCACTCACATTTAAGAGCTGGCCGCCTTCCCTCTGTGTACATATATATAAAGAGATAGAGAGAGATATATGAAGTATAAATTAAATATCTATATCAAAGGAAACTTATTTAAAGCGCCCATGCTGCGAATGCGAGATCCTCGCGGTGGGTCTTGTTTGAAGCCTTCGTTTCTCCCCTGGGCCTCCAGGTGCGGAAGAGAAGCCCGCCTTCTGTATATACAGTGTGTGTAATATATATGTATATATGCTTGTAAATTTAAATTTTAATGTACACCCGGATAAGGAATATATCATCTATCAGGCAATAAAAAAGTCGTTTAATAGGAATCTTTTTCCCCACTCCCCTGACTTTGTCTATAGGCAGATGATGACAGATAGGTAGATAGATATGACTGTATATACATATTATATATTTATGACTATATAGAGATGGTTTTTTGTTCCAACATTAATAAGACTTTTAAACAGAGACGACTGCGGGGCAATACTCTCCCCCCCCGCCGCCGCCCAGGGGACCGGAGATTTCTCCTGACAGGCCCCGATGAGACTTCTCGTTCGGTGACAGCGGGTGAGTTTTGCACAACCAAGCCGGGGACCCGAGTGTGTCAGGTCAAGGGTAACCGAAATCCGGCTGCAATTCCTCGGGTCTCTGTTCTCTCTAAGATGAGTTAGTGTGAGCCAGCTCACAGATTTTTAGCCTCCGGCTCACCCATTTTTGTCTTAGCTCAGGAAGGAGGGCTCCCGAGAAAACCGATTTATGCAGTAGCCAAATTGTTTACTCACAACTTTAACGCCAGTAACTCACAAAGTAGCACTTTTGCTCACAAGACTCCACAGTTTAGAGGGAGCAGGGGGGGGGGGCGTTCTGCTTCTTTGAATCGGGTCCCCTGGGCTGGGCTGGCCGTCGCCGTCTGCGGGAAAGCCCGGCCCGACTGGCCCACCCGGGGAATTCGCTGGGCCGGTGGTTATGCCTTGGATCGCCTCCTCTTTGACGGGCCGGCTCGTTAGGAGAAGGGGCGTACCTCACTTCCGTCAAGGAACGGCTCTTCGGGAAAGAGCGATGAAAGGACAAAAATGCGGGGAGGAGGAGGAGGCAGCGTTGAGACAATCGCTCCTGGGGGGATTCAGCCGCAGCCCACGGCTGAGAGACAGGGAGAAAAGACGCATCGCCCGACGGATTTCGTTTTCCAAGTTCAGGGATCCTGGGCTTGAAAAAAAATCCTCTCCCGGCAGGCAGGCAGGCAGGCAGGCGAGGAAAGGCAGCAAAGCAACGCCAAATCGCGCCCCTCCTTCCCTCCC